TAGGGTGAGGGAAGGTGGGGAGGGATGGAGACGGAGGGATGGGCACCGGTACATAGGGAGGTAGGGAGGGAAGGAAGGAGGGAGGGAGGGTGGGAGTGAGGGAGTGAGGGAAAGAAAGAGGGAAGGAGAGAGAGAGAGAGAGAGGGATCACGGACACAAAATGATGGACAGAAGGAGGGAGATGGAACAGGCGCAGAGTGATGGACAGAGAGGGAGGGAGAAGGAACATATATAAAGACTCGGAGAATGAGGGAGGGAGATGGATGGAAGGGAGGAGGGGACGAACACAGACGAATGGAGAGAGGAAAATAAGGTAATAACATAGAAAGATGGAGAAAAAGGATAGGAGAAGGAACAGAGACAGAGGCAAGGGGAAAGGATGGGAGGGGTACGGACACAGAAGGATGGAGAGAGGGAGTGAGTAGGAATGGACACAGAGGGATGGAGGGAGGGAAGGGAGAGGGGCTAGGAAGGCACGGTCGCCTGATCTCGTTCGCTACATGTTTAAAGTTCTCCTGCTGTACCCACTGCCTGGGGATAGGTGGCTGGGAGGAGGAGGAGGCTGCGATAGAAGGGAGGGAGCGGGGAAGGGGGAGGAGGAAAAGGGAGGAGGGCGCAGGAGAGTAAAGGAGGGAAAGGGAGTAGGGGCGAAGGAGAGTAAAGGAGGGAAAGGGAGTAGGGGCGAAGGAGAGGAAAGGAGGAAAGGGGAGTAGGGGCGAAGGAGAGGAAAGGTGGAATAGGGAGCAGGGGCGAAGGAGAGTAAAGGAGAAGGAAAGACGAGGAAAGGGGAGCAAGGCGAAGGAGAGTAAAAGGAGTAGGAGTAGAGGAAGAAAAATGATCAAGGAGGGTAGAGGGAGAGGAGGGAAAGAAGGGAGAGCAAAGGAGAGTAAAGGTGGAAGAGGGATCAGGGGCAAAGGAGAGTAAAGGAGGAGGAAATGGAGGAAATGGGAGATGGGGCGAAGAAGAGTAAAGGAAGAGGAAGGAGAAGGAAAAAGGAGCAGGGACCAAGGACAGGAAAGGAGGAGAACTGAAGAAAGGGGAGCAAGGCAAGGAAGGAGCAAGGAGAGTAAAGGAGGAACAGTGATCGGGGGCGAAGGAGAGTGAAAGGGGAGGGTGGGGGGGGAGGAAAAGGAAGAAGAGCGAAGGAGAGGAAAGGAGGAAGATGGAGGCCTGGGTAAAAACAGAGAGAAAGAGGATGAAAGAGGAAGAAAAGAGCAGGATAAAGGAGTGTAAAGGAAGAAAAAGAGAGAATAAAAAAAAGAAAGCAAGGCGAAGGAAAGTGAAGGAGGAGGAGAACAGCAAATGAAAAAAAAGGAAACAGGTAAAGGTAAAAGGAAAGGTAAGAGGTGGAGGGAGAAGGGGGGAGGGGGTCGTGGTCCATGACTGAGTCGAATCCTCAGGCGGCGATACGTGCTAAGGGTGACGGGTCGGGCAAAGTTACTGTTTCATCTTGGGAATAAAACTCCGCAAGTTGTGGGCGGAAGAGGAGACGGAGGAGGGGAAAAGAAAGGGAAGAAGGGGAAAGGAGGAAGAGGAAAAGAAGTTGTGGGCGGAAGAGGAGACGGAGGAGGGGAAAAGAAAGGGAAGAAGGGGAAAGGAGGAAGAGGAAAAGAAGTTGTGGGCGGAAGAGGAAACGGGGGGAGGGGAAGAGAACGGGAAGAAGGGGAAAGGAGGAAGAGGAAAAGAAGTTGTGGGCGGAAGAGGAGACGGGGGAGGGGAAAAGAAAGGGAAGAAGGGGAAAGGAGGAAGAGGAAAAGAAGTTGTGGGCGGAAGAGGAAACGGGGGAGGGGAAGAGAACGGGAAGAAGGGGAAAGGAGGAAGAGGAAAAGAAGTTGTGGGCGGAAGAGGAGACGGGGGAGGGGAAAAAGAAAGGGAAGAAGGGGAAAGGAGGAAGAGGAAAAGAAGTTGTGGGCGGAAGAGGAGTCGGGGGAGGGGAAAAGAAAGGGAAGAAGGGGAAAGGAGGAAGAGGAAAAGAAGTTGTGGGCGGAAGAGGAGACGGGGGAGGGGAAAAGAAAGGGAAGAAGGGGAAAGGAGGAAGAGGAAAAGAAGTTGTGGGCGGAAGAGGAGTCGGGGGAGGGGAAAAGAAAGGGAAGAAGGGGAAAGGAGGAAGAGGAAAAGAAGTTGTGGGCGGAAGAGGAGACGGGGGAGGGGAAGAGAAAGGGAAGAAGGGGAAAGGAGGAAGAGGAAAATAAGTTGTGGGCAGAAGAGGAGATGGGGGAGGGGAAAAGAAGGGAGAAGAGAGAAGACGGGAAGAAGGAGAAGAGGGGGGAGAGGAAAAGAAAGGGAAGAAGGAGAAGAGGTGGAAGGAGAAGAGGGGGAAGAGATAAAGAAGGGGGAGAAGAAGAAGAGGGGAAGAAGAAGAAGAGGTGAAGAAGGGGAAGAAGGGAAAGAGGGGGAAGAGGAAAAAAGAAAAAGGAGGAGATGAGAATAAGGAGAATAGAGGGACGAAAGAGAAGAAGGAGAAGAGAGAGAAGAAAGAGAGGAAGGAGAAAGGGGAAGAGGAGAAGAAGAAGAGAAAGGAATAAGGGAAAAAAATGAAGACGAGAAGAAGGTGAAGAAGGTGAAGAGGGGGGGGGGGATGTAGAGGGATGAAGAGAGTAGTAACTTTAGATATATTACCCAGTAAGAAGGGCATTCAGGCGGAGGCTGTGGCAGAGGGAGAGGCAGAGGAGAGGGTGAGATGGAGAAGCTGGAGTCGTGTTATTGTGGCGATTTTTGCTTACGGGTCTGAAATGCCTGTCGTCTGTCTGGCTTGCTGTTTGTCTGTCGTCTGTCTGGCTTGCTGTTTGTCTGACGTCTGTCTGGCTTGCTGTTTGTCTGTCGTCTGTCTGGCTTGCTGTTTGTCTGTCGTCTGTCTGGCTTGCTGTTTGTCTGGCGTCAGCCTGGCTTGCTGTTTGTCTGTCGTCTGCCTGGCTTGCTGTTTGTCTGTCGTCTGTCTGGCTTGCTGTTTGTCTGA